AGTCAAAAACTGAGGACAAGAACCCCCAAGTATGTTTATGGAACCCACCCACACCCTTGGCTCATCTTTGCATGCCTTGGGGAAGACCTGAGAAGGGCTTGTGAAATTATAGCAGCTAGAAACAGAAATACCTAAGTAGAGATTTTAATTGACATCTAGCTAGCCAAGGTGTGAGGGGGCTTCAGTTCATGAAGAAAATGGAATTGAAAGATGATGGAATTTCTGCACAAAAATCCACCTCCTATGGAACTATACTGCTACACAATGTTTGTAACAAATGGGAAATAATGCATTATAGACTCTAGATTGTGATCCCTATAAATGCATACTGTCAGTCACAGAACGAACAATCATGAAAACAAGTGATGCATATAGATGTAGTTAAAAAGTCAACAGAGAAATCAAAAATGACAACTAAAAAATACACAATTAACTCTTTAAGGCAAGAAAAGAAGAAACGAGAAACAAAAACACAGACAAAAATAGAACACAAAGAGCAAACAGCTGGTCCTAAATCCAACTACATTACTATTTAAGTAAATGGACTAAACACTTCTAAATGAACTAATAAAAACAATTTAAAGTAGAGATTGTCTGCCTTTATAAAAACAGTGACATCAAATGTTACTATTTAAATGTGCTTAAACAAAAAGAAACTACTTCAAACCAATAGTTTGAAAGAAAAGTATTAAACAGAGATATACCTGGTGTGGCGCTGTAGGTTAATACGCCAGATTGCAAAGCCGTTTGAACTGCAAGGTCGGCAGTTCAAGCTTACCAGCTCGAACTGACAAAATTCATTGTCAAAGGCTGCACCACAAACAAAACTACCAGCTACTCCTCAGAAACCCTATACGGGGTCGCTATGGGTCGGAACCAACTCGACAGCACTTAAAAAGAACAACAATACCATACAAACACTAATTATAAGAAAGCTGAATGTCAGAAAAAAAAAGATTGTAAGACATGGGGAATTACAATTAGAACTAGAGACATTTCACAATGGTAAAAAGGGACAATATATCAAAAAGACATCATAACAATACATGTGTATGTTTCTAACAATAAGTGTTTTAAAATAAAATACAGAACTTAAGACAAAAATGTAGATTAAGGCACAAACAACTGGAGATCTTAACACTCCTTAGCTGGTAATTGGTACAACAACTAGACCAGAAATCAGTAAGAACAGGAAAGATCTGAATGTCACTACCCACCACCTTGTGACCAAAATGAAATTATTGTTGCTGTTAAGTGGCAAAGAGTCAGTTCCAACATGTAGCAACCCTATGTAGGGTTTCTGAGGAGTCGCTGCTGAGTTTGAAACAGCACATTATATACAACCTCATGCAGAACACATATTCTATGCACATGCAAATGAAGCTCTTGCTTGATACACTTAAGCTAGGGATAGAATGAATCTCAGCAATTTTTTAAAACTTGTGGTTAGCAGTCTAGTGCTTATCGTATGGAGCCATATATAAATACCAAAATATTTATTTTTTAAAAAAAATTCATTGTCAAAGGCTGCACGACAAACAAAACTACAAGCACAATGTTTTTACTGGTGAATTCTCTCATTTTAGAAAAAGAATAGTTTTGATTTCATACCAAAAAACTCTAATAAAGGAGAACAACATTCACAGATCACTGATATTCAAACATGCTAACACATCACTGTAAGAAAAAATTATAATAGCTTTCAAAAATTTGGATGCAAAAGTCTTAAAATATTATAAAATCTAATTCCATAATATTATAACATGATCAATCAAAACTTACTCTAGGAATTCTAGTTTAGTTTAACATATGAAAATCAATCATCAGTCCATAGATTCAACACCTAAACAACATGAACTGTGCAGACACAGAGTAAGAAGAGAGTAGAACCTAATATAGACTCTGAGAAGCGTCAATATTTAAAGTAGGATCGGAGGAGGGAATGATTGAAAAGGGAAGAAAGCTCGAGAGGGAAAAAGAGATCAAAATATCAAATAGACATATCATTTTCTAAAAAAATGGTGAAAGTTAAGTATCAGAGTCTACTGCATTTAGCAATTAGGAGACCATTAGTAATCACAGCACAGACATTTCAGTGAAGTAATAAGGAGAGAAGTCAGACTGCAAAGCTCTCATAGTACAAAGGTACTCCTCCTGGCCCCTTGTGCCACATCCCTTACACACCCCTGCTGCAGAGTAGATGAGGAAAAGAGCCCTTGCTAGATATCTGTTCTCTCTCTCAAGAATAAACAGATGCAAAAAATACCTGAATTGAAGAACACAATTCCACAGTTAAGTAACAATGCTAACCTCAGAAGCAAGGTCTTCAGCTTCTAATAGTCTACCATTCAGTGTTGGGAGGGAACAAGCTGCAGAACATGAGTCTAATTCTTCACCAAAGACAATTTCTTTATCTTCCAGCTTTTCTTTCTCTTCCCTGAGGATGTTCCTTTTTAACATGTTCCTTGGCCGAGGTGAAGGCTTAAAGTGAGTATCTGTTTCAACGTTGTTATATTCTATTAAAAAATAAAAATTATAATGTGAATGTACAGAAAAATGACCATTGTTTCAACTATGTACTGGGTCTTACAACAGTTTGCTCCTGTGTCCATGCGTCTTTGTTTTATGTCCTTAAGAATCCAGATGAAACCCACCACCTTTTGTTACATAGTAGATGTCCAGTAAGGTACAAACAAGTGATGGCATCAAAAAATAGTTGGCATCCTAGAAGTAACTAGTAATCTTATTTTTGTGAGATGTTAACTCTTCAATTTTATAAAGTTTCATATTTTATAATATTCAAAAGTAACTAATTAATACTCCTCTGTAAAGTGAGGAGGTTTGTTCATCAAACTGAATACTTACAGGTGTGCACATAATCTTTACAAGTTACTGAGATTATTGGGGTTCATAATCAAGATAATAAAAACGAACTTGTTCAAGGACTCAAAAGATTGGTAGGGTGATCATTTTAAACAAATAACATTATAAGACATACAAGTGTGGAGATAATACTGTCAGCAGACACTCAGGGAAGACTATAGAACTAGATGATTTGCAAGTTATCAGTCTTTGATTTCATATAGCTTCTTTAATGGTCTATTATAATTTCACAGCTACTAATTTCATTAATCCTGTGTTAAAAAGAAGACTTCATGCTAACATTATCCCGTGCTAAAAATGAGTTTTTTATGTATATACCTTTTTCTAAATTTACCTGTTATCCATCAATATTTCTTCATTGTTGGATCAATACATTTTTCTGACCAAACCTCGAAATTGGACTAATGAAAACTTACTCCTTTGAACCTATAACTGAGTTTATAAATGCTATTTGTAGAGAAGAGTCTGCAAACATATCACATTGGTACCACTAAATGTTTTATTGCTAATTTTAACCTGGTCCTAAATTCTGATCAAATATTCACAGTGATCCAAAACTTTCAAAATTTCAAGAGACGTCCAAGGTCCTTCCCTTTCTTCTACTCTATATCCCAAACATTTGTATATCCTATTGATTCTATTTGCTAATTATTTCCCATTGATCTCATTTTCCCCATCCCCAGTGACAGCTCCTTCCTCATGGTCAGTTTTCTAGATTACTCTCAGTGACAGTTTTAAAAACACAAACCAAAACATGTCGCTCCCTCCACAAAATACTTCAACATCTCCCACCAGCCAATTCTGCAGAACAAAATCTACATGTCTTTGAACAATACAAAAGGTCTTCATATTCCAGTCTCTGGCTACTTGTACAGCCTTGTTTACTGGTACACTTACTTTGTAATCTGTGTTCCTGAAGTGCTGAGCTAGTTGGTTTGGACACAGGTCATGTTACATTCTTACCTTTACCCAATGCCTCTGCTTAGAATGTCTGCTTCCTGTTTCTCCTCCCGATAAACACATCTCTTTCAAACCTCCCCCAAAATGAGTGGCAACAAATTTGATTCTTTGCTCTGTTGTTGTTGTTATTGTTGTTGTTGGGTGGCGCTGAGGCATTTCTGACTAATAGCCATCCTACGTTCAACAGAACAGAACACTGTCTGGTCCTATGGCATCCTCACCATTGTTAGGTTTGAGCCCATTGTTGCTGTCACTGTGTCAAGCCATCTTGGTGGGAGGCTACCTCTTTTTCACTGACCATTCACTTTTCCAAGCATGGTGTCCTTCTCCAGGGGCTGGTCCCTCCTAATATTATATCTAAAGTATGAGAGACAAAGTCACTCCATCCTGACTTCTAAGAAGCATTCTGACTGCACTTTTTCCAAGACAGATTTTTTTTTTTTATTCTTCTGGTCTTCCACAGTACTTTCAATAGTCTTCTCCAACACCACAATTCAAGTACATTTCATTCTTCTAAGGTCTTTCTTATTCACAGTCTAATTTCACAGGCATATGAGATTATTGAAAATAACATGGCTTGGGTTATTATTAGGTGCCATCAAGTCGGTACTGACTCATAGCGACCCTATGCACAACAGAATGAAACACCGCCCAGTCCTGGGCCTTGGGTTAGGTACACTTTCATCCTCAAATCTTTACTCTTGAATACTTTAAGCAAGTCTTTTGCAGCAGATTTGCCTAATGCAATATGGCATTTGATTTCTTGACTGCTGCTTCCTGGAACACTGATGGTGGACCCAAGAAAATTGAACTCTGACAACCTCAATCTTTTCTCTATTTATCATGATGCTATTTATTGGTCCATTTGTGAGGATTTTTGTTTTCTTTACACTGAGGTGCAATCCATATGGTAGGTAGTCTTTGATATTCATCAGTAAGTAGTCCAACTCCTCTTAGCTTTCAGCAAGCAAGGCTGTGTTACCTGCATATTACAGGTTGTTGATGAGACTTTCTCCAATCCTAATGCCACATTCTTCTTCACATAATCCAGCTTCTCTGATTATTTGCTCAGCAAACAGTATGGTAAAATGATACAGCCCTGACACACCTTTCCTGATTTTAAAACATTCAGTATCCCCTTGTTCTGTTTGAATGATTGCTTTTTGGTCAATATGTTGTTGTTGCTAAATGCCATCAAGTTGGTTCCGACCCATAGCGACCCTGAACAGGGCTTCCGAGGCTGTAAATCTTCACAGGAGCAGAAAGCCTCATCTTTCTCCTGCCGAGCAACTGGTAGTTTCCAACTGCTGACCTAGCGGTTCGCTGCCTAATTCATAACCACTACGCTACCAGAGTAAATATACAGGTTCCTAAATGAGCACAATTAAGTGTTCTGAAACACATATTCTTTGCAATGATATCCATAGCTTGTCATGATCCACACAATAGAATACGTTTACAGTCAAGAAAATACAAATATACATCTTTCTGGTGTTCTTTGCTTCTAGCCACGATCCATCTGATGTCAGCAATGATATCCCTACTTCTACATCGTCTACTTAATCTGGCTTGCATTTCTGGCAGCTTCCTGCTGATGCACTGCTGTAATTGTTTTTGAATTACCTTTAGCAAAATTTTACATGCATTTGAAATTAATGACATTGTATGATGGTCTCTGCATTCCACTGAATGACCGTTCTTTGGAATGGGCACAAATATTGACCTCTTCCAATCTGTGGGCCAGGTTGTTGTCTTCCAAATTTCTTAACATAGACAAGTGAGCACCTGCAGCACTATATTAGTCTGCTGAAAGATATCAATCTGTATTCTGTCAATTCCTGAACCTTGTTTTTGCCAGCTCCTTTGGTGCAGGTTGGACTTCTTCCTTCAGTATCATTGGTTCTTGATAATAAGGTACCTCTTGAAATTAATGAACCTTGGCTCTGATACTTAGTAAAAACAAAGCCACTGCCATTCCATGGATTTTGACCCATAGCAATCCTATATGACTGAATACAACTGCTTCTTAGTGTTCTAAAACTATAAACCTTTATAGGAGAAGAGACCTTGATCTTTCCACAGAGCAGCTGTTGGCTTTGAACTACCAACCTTGTAGTTAGCAGCCCAACACATAACATACTGCACCACACCAAATCCAGTCAATTCCTACTACAGCGACCTTAAGTGTGACAGAACAGAAGCTCCAGAAAGTTTTCTCGACTGTAATCTTTATGTAAGCAGATCACCTAGCCTTCTGTCTGCAGCACGGCTGGGTGGTGCAAATAGCTAACTTTTAGTCGTGTGTTCAGTCAGTTCTACTCATGGCAACACTAAATGACAGAGTAAAATTGCCTGATAGGATTTCCTAAGCTATAATCTTTATAGGAGGAGATCACCAGGTTTTTTCTCTCACCAAATGGGCTAGTAGGTTCAGACGACCAACCTTTCAGTTAGGAGCCAAGGACTTCACCACTATGCCATGCAACTCTATAATCTTGCACAGACTGCGGAATTACCCTGGCTTTCTTCTCATTGGTAAAACTAATTCAGTGGGTTAGGCAATGGGTAACCAACTGCAAAGTCATCAGCAATTCAAAGCTACCAGCAGCTATTAGAAAGAAAGAAGAGGTGGTCTCCTCCCATGAAGATGTATGTTGTTGTTGTCAAGTGCCATCGAGTCGGAACCGACTAATAGCAACCCCATGCACAGCAGAATGAAACAATGTCCGAACCTGGGCCAACCTCACGACTGCTGCCACACTTGAGTCCATCAATGACGCCACCTGGCCAATCCATCTCGTTAGAAGTCTTCCTCTTTTTCTCTGACCTTCCACCTTACCCAGCATGACATCCTTCTCCAACAATTGTTTCCTCCGGACAATATGTCCAAAATATGAGAGACGAAGCTTAGCCATCCTGGCCTCCAAGGAGCACTCTGGCTGCACTTCTTCCAAAACAGATCTATTAGTTCTTTTGGCAGTCCATGGCACTTTCAGTATTCTCCTCCAACACCACAACTCAAAGGCATCAATTCTTCTACGATCTTCCTTATTCACTGTCCAGCTTTCGCATCCATATGAGGCTATTGAAAACACAATGGCCTGGGTCAGGCGCACCTTAGTCCTCAAGCTGACATCTCTGTTCTTCAATACTTTAAAAAGTTCCTGTGCAGCAGATTTGCTCAGTGCAATATGTCGTCTGATCTCTTGACTGCTGCTTCTACGAGTGTTGACAGTTGATCCAAGAAGAATGAAGTCCTTGACAACTTCAATCTTTTCTCCATTGATAAGAATGTTGATAAGAATGAAGATGTATACAGTCTTGGAAAGCATATACAGAGTCGCTATGAGTCAGAATCAATTCAACAGCATTGAGTATGGTTATGCTAATTACCAGAGTAATTAGTGAAGTGCTGTGGAGTTGGTTCCAACTCTCAGAAACCCTGTATAGGGATTCTGAGGCTGTAAATCTTAACGGAAGCAGAAAGCCTCATCTTTCTGCTTCCGGAAAGATTTGGTAGTTGGTAGTTTCAAACTGATGACCTTGAGGTTAGCTACGATACCAGAGCTCCTTAAAATATATGAGAGGGCTTCAAAACATTCATGGAATATTGGAAATAAATGATAATGGAACTTTTCCATGAACTTTTTGAAGCACCCTTGTATATAAAATGCATTATACAGTACCTGATGCATAGTAAGTGCTCAATGAATATTAAACATTGTGGTAAACTTTTTTTTTTTTGCTCCTGCTTTCACTGGAGTAGTTTTTCCTTTACTTTACCCATGTGATTAGAGTCCTGGTGTGGGGCTGTAGGATAAGCACTAGACTGCTAACTGCAAGGTGGGTGATTCAAAACCACCAGCTGTTTCTTGGAAACCCTACACAGGGTCACTATGAGTCAGAAACAACTCACTGACACTTTAACAACACCAACAACCCATGTGATTAACAAGTATTGTCTGCAGCATTAGTGAGCAGAATGGGCCTGGGCTGCACCTCCCAGTTTATCAGAGACTCTCGAATCCCCTGCTCAGAGGTGATCTAGATAGAGGTGGACATAGGAGGATAGAGAAGAATGCTAATAGTACTAACAAAAGTACTTTTCTGTTAGCTAGAGGATGAAGCTTGAATGATTAGATATGGAAATTACTGGTGTGTTTCTGTCTTGCCAAGTGAAGGACTGTCTGAGAAAATGAGGCCAACCAACAGAGAACAACAAGAAATGGAGTGAGTGAGTGAGTGAGCGGGCAGGGAAAACAGAGAGGGCCAGGGAGTCATGGTGGTAAGGCTGAGTAATTCAGATGACCTCCAAAAAGTTGTTGTTTGTTGTTGTTAGGTTCCATCGAGTCAATACCAACCCATAGCGACCTTACGCACAGCAGAACAAAATACTGCCCGATCCTGGACCAATCTCACTACTGTTGCCACGCTTGAGTCCATCAATGCTGCCACTTGGCCAATCCATTTTGTTGGGGGTCTTCCTCTTTTTCTCTGACCCTCCACCTTACCAAACAGTACTGGTTCCCTAATTCTTATCATACCTAGGAGTTCTGGTGTGGTGCTGTAGGATAAGCACTGGACTGCTAACCACAGGTCAGTGGCTCAAACCCACCAGCCTGGAAACACTATACAGGGACGCTATGAGTTGGAACCGACTCGATGGAACTTAACAACAACAACGATACCTAAAACAGGGACTTCTCCCATTTTTGATCAGTAAGATAATAAATTCCCCTTTCCACTTGTTTGTTTGAGTTGGATCACTTACAATCAACAGTCCTGATTGTGGCAACTGTTATCAATCACTGTTAGCACAACTACTGTCATCACCTCTTGAAAGCCTCCCCAGATTCCCTCAGATAAATACTGATGCCCACTTTCCTGTGCTCTTTCTTGTATATATCTTCCCACCATATTGTAAAGTCTTGAAGGATTGGTATTTTATCTTTTCAAATTTGTTTTCCTAGTTCTCGTACAATCCCATAACATACTATGGTGGTATTGATAATTGTGGTCTAGTCTGTTCCTACTCATAGTGACTCTCTATAGTGCTTCCAAGGAGCTGGTGGGTTTGAACTGCTGAACTTGTGGTTCATAGTCCAATGCTTATCCTATAGAGCCACATCAAGAGTGTTAGTAACATAGTTAGTATAGCATATTGTGATCAAAACAAATGTCTGAATAAATATTCTGCTTATATACAAATGTAAAGTCATAAAAATAATATAAGCATTCATATAGCATATAATATATACCAAAGCATTAAGACTGCATAGAATAAGTAGTGGATTGCAAGCTACAAGGTTGGTGGTTCAAGTCTACTATCAGCTCCGTATGAGACAGATGAAGCTGTTTGTTTCCTCATAGGATTTAAAATCTTAAAAAATCTATAGTCATCATTAGTCAATATTGACACTATGACATTGAATATACGCTAGAATTTTTGTAAACAGTCTGACTATATGAACTCAATGAATTGGTTTCAGTTGCTGAAAGGAGTTTTAACTGTTATTTCCATTTTACAGATGAGTATAATGAGGAACAATAGACCTTGTGGCTAAGGTCACAAATGCTAGTGAGTACGTCACAACTCTTACGTTATAACAGACTCCAGTGACCATGCTCTTCATTATCTTAATAGTAAATGAAAATCAATCAACCTTGCAATAATGCTTTCTGCAATCATTAACCATATGTCAGCTGTTCTATATAGTGCACGTGTGGTTTGGCTACTCCACATTTTACAAAAGATAAGAAAGATGAGAGATTCTAGCATTTTTATGAAACATTAATTACTACAAACTCCATTTTAGAAATTAAGTTCCAAACCTTGCAAGAAAAATTGTTTAAATTTAAGACTTTTAAGAATGATAAAGTTAAGCTCACGAATCATATTTTTTCTTCATGAATGTATAATTCATATAATCACTTACTCAAATACTCAATGAATCCTACATGTCACCTCAATGTTATTCTCCATGTAAAAAGTCTGAAAAAATAACATTTAATGTATTTTAAAATTCCACTTCCAAAGCATTATCAAATTCTCAGAAAGTAAAAAACAGCCTATAAATGTTTAAATGTTTTCCTTTATAACCACATGTATAATTTAAGATTATCTATTTAGGTAATTATTTTTATATTTCATATACTGGATTGTTGTTGTTGTATGTGTTGGCAGATCTGACCCATAGTGACCCATTACAGAGTTTCCAAGGAACAGCCGGTGGGTTTGCACCCTCAACCTTACAGCTAGCAGTCAAATGCTTATCCAATAGTGTCACACCAGGACTTCACATATTGCATTGTTGTTGTTAAGGGCCATTGAGTCAATTCCGACTCATAGTGACCCTACAGAGGGTTTCCAAGGAACAGCCAGTGGGTTTGAACTCCCAACCTTGTGGTTCACAGTACAGTGCTGATGCTACACCGCAGCACCGGAAGTCCATACACTGCATAGCAAATAGCTAATAATTTTCAAAAATACTGAATTGCAGTTTATGTAAAATATTTAGACTCCTGGTGCCATCTGGTGGTGGTGATTGTTGTTAAGTGCCATCGAGCCAGTTCCAACTAATAGCAACCCTATACAGGGTTCCGTAAGAGCAGCTGGTGGGTTTGACTCATAGATCTTCTGGTTCAAACAGAACTGTGGTCCAATGCATTATCCTACAGCACCATACCAGTACTCCATCAAGTGTTTAGAATGTAGTATTTTCTTATTTATTTAAATTCACTAATCTTTTGCTTTTGTGAAGGTATCATATAGGTAGATTACTTACTACCTAATGAAATCTTTTTTAGAATCAAACTAAATCAGAAAATACACAATCCATAAAAATAGGTTTTTCTAACCTCAAATAAAACAAGGAAACACTGTCTATTCTGCTTTTTTTGAAGATTCACAATACAATTTCCTTTTTTAAAAGCTCCAAGAAGTTCTTATCATACACAAGTTTAATTTTTTTTGTAACTCTTTATGTCACCAATTCTTAATACCGTAACAACCTATGGAATGCATTTTGGGAAATGCTAAATTATTAAATTCTAACATTGTGTTTATCCAAGTTAAATTATGTTTCCTTTCCCTACCATCTTTGATTGTACTTACTAAATAGAAAAGGTACAATTCTGAAAGTTCAATTTGTTTCATGATAGCTTGTGTTTTCATCTTTGTAGCATTTTATAGTTCATGAGACATACTTCAGTTCTCAAGACTATGTTGTAAGACAAGACAAGATTTCTTATCTTTCTATGTGGGCCCATTTGACAAGGTCACATAACTAATAGATAGTAGAGTGAGGACTGGTACCAATTCTATCTTCTTATGTTTACACTATTTTAGTATTCTTTGTCATGTTCATATCCTCTCATTTGAAAGTTAGTAGAACTGAGAAAAAGAAAAGGTGGTATCCTAAAATATCAAGTACTTAATGTATTTCGGGATTCCTGGTGTGGTGCTGTAGGATCAGCACTAGATTGCGAACCACAAAGTCCACAGGTTGGCAGTTCAAACCTACTAGCTGCTTCTCGGAAATCCTATACAGTATCGCTATGAGTCACAACCAACTCAAAGGCGCTTAACAAACAACAACAATGAATTTAGACATTTGTTCAAATACCTAACACCATGTCTGAAATAGTTTTGTCTGGTGTTAACCATTAACATCCACTATGCAAAATATGCTGCTGTTGTTGTTAGCTGTCATTGAGTAAGCCCTCACACAAGCAACTCCATATCTAACAAAATTAGACATTTTGGGTCCAGTTCCATCACCATGATTGCTTGGGGACTGGACTTTTGCAATCCATAAAGTTTTTATAGGCTGCTTTTCATAAGCAGATCACCAGGTCTTTCTGCCTAGTTCTTTGTAGGCTGGAAGTTCTGTTGAAATCTGTTTGCATCATAGCAACACATGCTGTTGTTAAGTGCCGTTGACTCATAGAAACCCTATATAGAGTTTCCAAGGAAGGGCTGGTGAATTTGAACCACTGGCTTTGCATTTCAAACTGACCTTGCGGGCCAGTGCTGTATCCCACAGCGCCACACAAGGACTCCTCTAGTAATAGGCAGGTTGTGGCTGCACATAAGGTGCAGTAGTTGGCATTTAATCCCCAGTCTCCTACGTGAAAGGTGAACCACCAATGCTCCCTAAAATATTTAGCAACATTTTTCTTCTATAAAAAGAACAACGTGTGGAAAACCTTGTGTGTGTGTTTCTGTGAGGTGGCTCAGGGGACCTCAGAGGAGTTTGTTCTTGCTCCAGTCTACCTTTGTTCCTCTGTGCATGAAACTTAGTAGCATTCTGGGGAGAACTACTGTAATCCTAGATGACACTAGTAACATCCTCTCAGAAAACTGAGTCTAAGTGGATTTTCTTAAGAACAGAGACACTAAATGGAAAATTCCTTCTCTTGAACAACAAAATTCTTCTCTCATCAAAGAAAAAAATGGTAAAAAATTTCTGGCATCATGGTAGTTTTAAGGACAAATTTCAGTCCTATTATAATGGCTGGAGTATGACGTGGATTGGAAAGAATTCCAGTGTAGTCCAAGCCCCAAATACAACTTTGAAGCTTATAGGCCTTGGCAAGGCTGTGCAGAGGTGTTTCTGGAGCTGCAATTACAGAAGACTGAAAGGTGCTTTGCGTTCTATCAGGCAGCAGCATAAATGAATGAATGAATTCACAACTGGACATCAAAATTATGGGTTTTATCTAAGCTTTTCTGTTATTCAAATTTATGTCATAACTGACAAGTGCTAAGTCTTTAATTTTTTTCCCATAAATATTTACAAAATATAAAATACTTATTACAAAGATATTTTGTGGTACATTATCTTAAGACACATTCTCTCAAGTCATATAATTATAAAAGTTAGTACCTGAATCCAACAAATTACCTGAAGATATGTTTTTGAATGCAAGAATTCTGGGTTTCGGTTTCATTTTCATGGTCTCTTTTTCAATTTCGTCGTCTTTACTTTGAGGCCCAGAGAAGGAATTTATAACAATGTCTTCACATCCATCTGGTGCTACTTCCTCATTGCTTTTGATGAAAGATACTGGTTCACCTTTGAGTATGTCACTGCTTGCTTTTTTAGTTTTCAAAAAAGATAGTCTTGGAGAATTCTTGTCTTCATCATCTGATATGTGAAAATCATTCATTTTTTTCTTAACTGAATTTTCATCTACTGAAGTATCAGAGAACTCACCTAAGGAAACTAAAAAAGTTTAAAAGAAAAAACGAAACTATTTCCAATGGTATATTTTAAAAGTGTTTAAACACACAACTGGGCTGCAGTTAATAACAAAGTTATGTTAATAAAAATAAGATAACCTTTAAGACCAGAAATGAATTTATATGCATGAAGAGGTACAAATTTATTTTAGAAATAGATTTATAACTCTAGAAAATGGCTAACTATGGCAGTTTTTATTGGTATTTATGAAATAAACATTTCAATGCTAGCAATGTATTCAAAATGTATTTGTCAAGTGCCTAAAGTAAGCAAAAGTACTGTCCTTGTTCTGGAAAGTCATCTATTTTCCTTGTCCCAGGGGTCAAATAATCAGCCATAAGACATTTCAAATAGACACCAGATTTCATTTGTTTCCAACTTTATCATATAAGCATAAAGAAAATAAAAATATTTGGAAGATTCTTAACTAGTTATTTGCTAATTAGATTATTTTCCATAAAAATCTAGAACTTAATTTCATTCACATCAGAGTGCTGTTGTTGATGTTAAGTTGGTTCCAACCCATGGCGACCCTATATAGGGTTTCCAAGAAGCGGCTGGTGAGCTTGACCTGTCAACGTTACGGTTCAAACTGACCTTGCAGTACAGAGCGTAAACCCACAGCGCCACATTCACATCAGAGTATTGGACTCTACTAAACCCCAAACCAAACTGAAACCAACTGCCATCAAATCAATTCTGACTCATAGCCTGGATAGGTTTTCCGAGGTTGAAAATCTTTACAGGAACAAAAAGCCCCATCTTTCTCCTATAAGCGTTAGTGGGTTTCAACTACCAACCTTGTGTTTGGCAGTCCAATGCTTATCCTATGGTTACTGAACTTCAAACGTAGAATCTGTATACTTATATATGAAGGCTAAAGTATTAATATTCTTACCAAATTGAAAGAAACCAAAATAAAGAGGCACTGAGGATTAATGCGCTGGAGTGCAAAGTTGGTTTGAACTGCAATGTCGGCAATTCAAGGTCACCAGTGGCTCCTCGGAAACCCTACATAGGGTTGCTGTGGGTCAGAACCAACTTGACAGCACTTAATAACATACATGAAGGCTAAAATATTAATATTTTTCCCAAATAAAAAGAAACCAAAATGAATCAAGTAATTAAACCATTGGTGTACTATATATAAAACCTTAGTCATAATTTTTTAAAAACTGACTTTCAATATCAAAATCACTTATATTACTAAAGAATAGATTTATCAAATATGCCAGGTGATTCTGATGTTTCCAAATTTAATTCTATGGTCCTTAGTTACTATCTAGTTATAGGAGACCCCAGAAGGTTGACCTTAAAGACAAACTTGGCATCTTAAATGCAGTTTATCAATAATCATCATTCTTTAACTGAAAATTTGCTGTCAGTTGATTTTTATTTCCATATATACATTTAGAAGGAGCCCTGGTGGTATAGTGGGTTAAGAGGTGGGCTGCTAATTTCATGGTCAGCAGTTCAAATCTATCAACTGCTCCATTGGAGAAAGATGAGGCTTTCTGCTCCTATATAGATTTACAGCCTCAGAAACCCTATACAAGGTGGTTTTGAGTTGGAATCAACTCAGTGGCAGTAGGCTTCTACTTTTAAAATAGTTGGAAACCACAAGCCAGTGAAATAATCAGTATTATTTAAGTGAATTATTTTTTTAGTCTAAATGTATCAAAGGAAGAGAAAAGCAGAAAAGTGGTTTACTTTTCCATGTGTCTCACATACCAATCTCATCACTATCAAAGTCATCTGAGTATTCAGAGCTCCGCTGTCGGACTGAGCGAGCTGTAATTGCTTTTATCAGTTCATCCTGAAATGAGATAATTAAAATCAAGTCCCAGTTGAACTTGAAGGTCTCATATTTAGAATTCATTATTTGAACAAATAATGCTTAATTAATAACTGCTCCAAACTTAGGTTTCATTCATCTAACGTTCACTGAAAGCCTACTTTATACAATGCACACAAACCTCAGTATCAACTGCAGAACATGACAGACAAGATCTCTAATCAAGCTTGGAGTAAACTAGGAAGGAATGGATTACAAATAAAATTACAGGTTATAATTAGAACTAAAGAGTAACACACAAGTGGAACTCAGTTTACATAGGATATGCTATAAACTGGCATTTTAAAAGAACACAGTACTTTTCAAGGGCTTTTGTTTCTACATATTGCAGAAGATGTTATCAATACCTTTTCAAAATGGTAATAATCCCAAAAGAAAGAATGTTCCAGCCCTCACCTTATCAAAGGGTTTTATATTTCTACATGAAAGCAGCAATTTTTAAATTGACTTAACATTTACCTTAGTAATGATATAGTACTGGGTCTAACTTGGTAGTCTTAAAGCCATATGCGGTACTGAAGCCCAACCATGACTATCCACAAAATCTCAAAATGAATCAGCAAGATGTATTCTTGCTTTTTTATATGCACAGATCCTGGAATCACTTCAAGTCCACCATTCCTAACACAGTGTTTAAGCCATAAAATCATTGAAAAATAACAGTGCTTTGAAATACTTTACCTGAAAAGTAGTTCTTTTGGCAGCTTTTGGACTCTTTGTATATGCCAAAGTGGTGCTAAAAACTTCATCAGACATGGTGTAATTTTATATTTCACTCTTTATACATGTAAAATGTATAATAAATGATTTGAATAATTCGACTCTGGTGGTAACTGAAATATTCAAAAAAACAAATGAAAACTTTTTTTTCATATTTCAGAATCTGTATTACTATTCTTAGTTGCTCCTCCTACAAGACAAACAAAAACAAGTAAGAAAAGAGGATCATGTAAGCGTTATGCTACAAACTCATTAAAAAATGTAAACCTGTTTTTAGTAAAGAAATGTCAAACTCTCAAAAACGGGCTTTCTAAAAAGTTGATGTTATCCCAAAATATTTTTGCAACTAGTTTAAGGATGTGCCAAAAAGGGCAGTAACTGGTTAATCAGATGCAACGGTGACAACTGATAAACACCTTGTTTCACTCTAAAAAGATATAAAATAGTTGATTCATTTTAAAGGCTACGAAAAGGATTCAGTGTAAAATGTATAAAGGGCGCCACAAGAAAGCACTGCTTGCCTGTACAGACTGGGGGTAGTGGGGAGAAGATTTATAATACCAATCTAGAAATCGCATTTTCCTGATTTTTCAAGCTGCTCTTCCCTCTCACATTAGCTTTAACAGAGTTACCGAATACAAAAGGAAGCATTCCAGGTGGACTGCACACACAAAAACGGCCCGGTGAGCATTGCTCCCGCTGGCAGCGGAGGCCCAGGCCTCCATAACCCCGCATTCTGCTGCAGCGCGCGCCTGGCCAGGTGGCACCCCGCTCCCCGTCCGCTCTGCACCCAACTGCCCGCCCGAGCGCCAGTGCACACACAGGCCCTTGCACACCCGAGAGCGTCTCTGGCCCCACTGCTTGACAGCAGCTCAAGTCCCGTGTATTGTACCCACCCAGCCACTTCTGCAGTGAGCTCCCGGGCTGGCCTGGAGTCAGATCCGCGCCTCTCTCCGTCACCCAGATCAGCGAACGCTCAGAAACCCGGCTCTAAACTCAGCAAGGGGCGGGGCTCAAAACCGAGGCGGGAGGCGGTTGCTAAGGAAACAGCGTCTCATGGAGGAAGTGACTTCTCTATTGCTGGGGGCTCTGGGTACCCATCACCGATTTTTTGCCGGACGCGTAGCTGGGGCCACCGTCCTGGTGAAGGAAGTGACATCACCTCTCTGGATCCTGGGAATGGGGTGCCCTTTCCGCCTGAGCTTTTTTAGTAGTGCTGTAGGATAAGCACTCCACCGCAAGATTGGTTTGAGCCGTAAAGTCTGTTCCTTGGAAACCCTATGGGTTGCACCCAACTCGACGGCACTTAACAACAACTAGACGCAGGACTGTCTTGTTTCCATCCGTACTACCAGAGCTTTACTTTCATCGGTGAAGTGAGGGTGAGCGGCTTTATCTGCAGATTCGGAGTGAAGTCAAAGAACACATACGGTTTTAGCACATTTAGGACATGAAGATATGTAAATCGAAGTAAGGTGCCAGTACAAAGGGTAGAATACCATGATATTGACTTTTCAGGCTCTAAGAATCAAACCGTATATTTGGATTCCGGAGATCATCCCTTTATAGCCCTTAGCATAGTGGTTACGAATCGAGCTGCTAATCTTAAGGTCAGCAGTTCGAAACTACAAGCGGTTCCGCGGGAGAAAGATGAGGCTTTCTGCTCCCATAAACCTCGGAAACCCTAAGAAGGGTCACCATGAGTCAGAACTGATTCCACGGCACATAGCCGCCGCCACCAATGTCTCCATACCGCTCTATGTTTATCCGAACAAAAGGGTTAAAATTAGCAACCACCTTAACGGGTTACCGTGAGGAATTAATGGACTAATGCAGGTGGAATAACCTGCCAGTGTCTGGAAACAGCCAGTAAATAGTTTCTATGCAACTCAAACACAAAGGGCGAGGCCAGAAGTCATCCCTTATCAACACAGCTGAAAAGTTTTCCACGTCTTTCTTAACTGTGAGGTTTTTCACTCTATCGAAATGACTGTCATTGGTGTTGTTAAGTTCCGCTGAGTGGGTTCTGACTCACAGTGAATCTGTATAAGGTTTTCTAGACTTTTAAATCTGCAGGAGCAGAAAACTTATCTTTCACCCTCAGAGTTCCTGGAGGGCTCCAACAGTAGGTCTTGTGGTTTGCAATTCAATGCTTATCCATCAGGAGCCATCAAGCTCCCAAACAGATAATGTGACTGAAAACAAACCAGTGAACAAACCAAATAACCTAATGCTACCAAGTACTATATGTTGCTAAAGTAACCCAACTCAGCATCTGTGAATTAGCATAAGTTGTTATTAAAAACACTTCTTTGCTGTTGTTACTAAGTGCTGTCAAGTTGATTCCAACCCATAGCAACGATGTATAGGGTTTCCGAGGAGCGGATGGTGAGCTTGAACCACCAACCTTGTGGATCAAACCAACTTTGTAGTCCAGCACATTAGACACTTCTTTAATGGTTTTTAACTTGGATTTCTATTTTCTTTTTTAAAACCCTTATTGAATAGTCTGAACGATTTCATTGGCTAGTACTTAATTTTTTTATGCTGTATTTTTCCATTTTCTCTAAAATGTATTCTTTACTCATTCAACAATGCGATATAAACAAAACATGTTATTTGTTGTTGTTAAGTGCCGTCCAGGCTACTTTGACCCATAGTGACTTTGTATAAGATTTCCAAGGAGCAGCTGGTGAGCTTGAACCACCGATCTTGCAGTTCAAACGACTTTGTTGTCTGATGCATTAGCCCACAATGCCACACAAACAAAACATGGAGATATAATTTAATAAATCAACTTATTGAAGTTGCATGTGCATATAATAAAATTTAGTTTAAAAACTATGGCTTCTACAACATTTATGTTATAATTTTAAAAATCATGTTCACTATATGTTGTTCATCTGTTCTTGTTTGAGAAATTGTTTTTCCCAGCATATGGTTGCTTTGGATGTTTCCAAACATTTTTTGTGAGTCTCTATATAAGATAGTATGGTAAATTACAAGCTGGGCTGCTAACCACAAGATTGGTAGTTCAAATCTACCAGTCGTTCCCAGACAGAAAGATAAGGCTTTCTGTACCTGTAAAGATGTATAACCTTGGAAACCCTATGCAGAGTTGCTATAAGTTGGAAACGACTAGTACCCCACAACCACCATCACTATGGGAAGATTTTTTTTTCTTCACATTTTTAGCAGTTACTGTTCATTTTTCAAACCCTTTAAGTCATGAATCAACAGATTTGACTCCACTATACTACCTGTGCCAACAATAGGGGTACCTCCTCTAGTGGTTGGTTGCATAGTGGATGCCGACTCATAGTGATTGTGTAGTACAGAATAGAACTGCTTCATAGGGTTTCCAAGGTTGGAGATTTTGATGGAAGCAGGCTTGCTTCATCTTTCTCCAATGTAGTAGTAGCTGGGTATTCAAAACATTGACCTTTTGCTTAGCAGTTCACCATTTAACACACTGCTGCGCCAGGGTCATTGGCAGTAAGAGCACAGCTTCACACATTTTCTTTATATCAATATACTAATTTGCACATATTGGAATATATATATTCAATAAAAAATCACTGCTATGTTAGTTTTCTCTTTTATACATATGACTAATAGAATTTTAATTTATTGTTGTTGTTAAGTGCTGTCATAGATACTTTTTAAGACGATACAATTCACAAAAGAGATTAGTGAAAAGAACCACTAAGAAAAGATTCTGTCTTTTCAATTGAATACAAAATATTCCATGGATGATATCAAGGTATGTCTCCCTAAGGCTCCCCTCTAATCTTTCCAGTTGCTGTTGTCAGTTTGATCCAGTATGGATAGATCTCAAGAGAGCACAATGCTCAAGGAAGACATTCATTACTAATTAAGCTGAACTATTGTTTTGTTTGAAGTCCACTGATTTTTAAGTAGCATTGACTTTTATCCAACTCATAAAACCGGTTGCCCTCAATTCTACTCCAATCCATGCCAGTCCATGTGTTTCAGAACACAACTGTGTACTGTAGAGTTTTCAGTGGTTGATTATTCCCCCCAGAAGTCTCTGGTGGACTCAAACCTCCAAACTTTTTGTTAGCAGCTGAGCACATTGTTGTATTGTTGTTGTTGTTAGATGCCATTGAATCAGTTCCGACTGACTGTGACCCTATGCATAACAGAATGAAACACTGCCCAATCCTGTGCCACCATGTCAATCCATCTCACTAAGGGTCTTCCTCTTTTTCGTTCTTGTTGTTGACCCTCAAGATGGACAAATAAGATGCCCTTCTCATGGACTGATCCTTTTGGACAACAGGTCCAAAGTACAAGAGACTTTGGTGGTAGTGTTGGTATTGGTGTCCCATGGAGTTGGTTCTGACTCAGCGACCCTGCATAGGGTTTCCGAGGCTGTAAAGCTTTACTGGAGCAGAAAGCCTTATCTTTCTCCTGTAGAATCGCTGGTAGTTTTGAACTGCTGACCTTGAGGTTAGAAGCCCGACTTGCAGCCACTACACTACCAGAGCTCCTTATAAGAGCTGTTAGTTGCCAATCAATTTATAATTGTTGAATTAATTAATATATAGCATTATGAACTAAAATAAATCTTTGAAGCTTTACAAAAGAAGCTCATAGTTTCTTTAAAAAAAAAAAATACTACAACACAAATATGTTTTCTTTTTCTTTTTCCTGACATAACTGAACTAATAATGGTTTGTCTGGCAGAATGCATCCGTTGAGTTTAATTCTCTTATCATTACTGAGTTTTCACTTAAGTAACTCATATATTATACACTTACCAAACACATATTTTGGCTTAGACTTTAAGAGGATTCAAAGGTAAGCCAGACATGGTTCCTGCAGTAATGGCATGGAGTGGCAACTGATCTCCTCTGACTTCATAAGGGTGAAGGAGAATCAATCTCAAAATCAGCACAGGGCCGATTCCTATGAGATAGAGGTCATATATGTTTCCAATGCTTTCCTCTCTTACCATTTCTTACATCAACTGTCCCTCTCAAAGCATTTGCTATTTCTCTGCTAGGTTCAGT